CCCCTTGGACATCCCAATGGTCACACACACCCCAGCTGCCTCCTCAGGCACCCCAGCAGTCACAGGCACTTCAACTACCCCACTGCCCCCTCGGACACCTGAATGGTCACACACACCCCAACTGCCCCCTCGGACACCTCAACGGTTATGGACACCCCAGCTGTGCCCTCAGACACCCCAATGGTCACACACACCCCAGCTGCCTCCTCAGACACCCCAGTAGTCACAGGCACCTCAGCTACCCCACTGCCCCCTCAGACACCCGAATGGTCATGCACACCCCAACTGCCCCACTGCCCCCTCAGACACCCGAATGGTCATGCACACCCCAACTGCCCCACTGCCCCCTCAGACACCCGAATGGTCACACACACACCCCAACTGCCCCCTCGGACACCTCAACGGTTATGGACACCCCAGCTGTGCCCTCAGACACCCCAATGGTCACACACACCCCAACAGCCCCCTTGGACACGCCAGTGCCCATACACTTCCTAACTGCCTCCCCCGCCAGCTGCCTCAGCTGTCACACACTCACTGCCCCCTCAGGCATCGCCCCTGGCAACAGCCACCCCAACAGTCTGCAGCAACACCCATCACCCTCGTATGCACCCTCACAACCCACAAACACCGTCCACGACTATCTCCCAACACAACAACAGCTCCTGAAGCCATTATCTGCATAAGCAACTTCCTCGACTGCCACCCTGAGCCTTGATGGCACCTCTAACTGCCACCAAGGCAACAACCACCACGTTGTACCACCAGCATGAACACCCCAGTGGCACACAGGCTACCTGCACCACCTGTATCACACCCGCTGCAGGCTGTGCAACCTCCTGATATCTCTGCCCGTTTCACCTGCTGCATTCAAAATGAGAGAAGAGAGACAAGCGTCCCTGGCCTGCTGCTGCGTTGCTGCATTGCTGCTGTCAACATGTCCCTTCATCTAGCATGGATGCGACAGAACCCAGCTATCCACTTTCCTGCATTCCTGTTGCCACATTGTGCAGAAGGGGAAGAGCTCAGTGAGGTGAAGAAAGGATGGAAAAGCTTCTGGGACTCACTAGCATCACTGGAACAGAAGCCCAGTGCTCCCTCTTCACTCCTCCTACCTCCACAAGCCCTTTATTACAAGACAGCTTGTTGGTGAAACAGCATCGAGGGAACATTACTATGAACCACAATCAAACTCTGAATTTGCTGTTATCCTTGGCCACTGAAACCAGAAGCTCAAAATAAAAAAGACAGCATTAAATGGATAATAATAATACCTATGGCGTTCACTTCTACGATACAGAAGGAATTCCAGCTTCTTCTCGAAATAGCCAGCTGCAGTATTAATTCACAGGGCTGTGCCTGGGGGCACTATTCAGAGCTGTCCATTGCAGCTTCCTCACTTTCCTGATTGCTTCCCAAATCAGGATACCACTTAGAAGAGCCATTATTCCAACCTCTTCTAACCATCCTCCCACAGGCTGTGAGAGATCTAGGAATGACATACACATGTCTGGTTATAAACTCCTGTAATCATTAGCAGACTGCCAACAAATCAGTCATCTCAATGGTCTCTTTTTATTTTAAAAAATAATTTTATAAAAATCAGGAGTGATGTAGCTTGAACATCACTGCCAGTGATATGTTTCAATGGTCGAACCTATCAAGCCACTGAAATATCTGCAGCTGCAGCAAGTTCGCCAATATGTGTCCAGTTCTGGGCTCCACAGTACAAGAGGGATGTGGAGCTGCTCAAAGAGTCCAGCACAGGGCTACAGGGATGATCAGGGGCCTGGAACATCTGCCGTATGAGGAGCGGCTGAGGGAGCTGGGCCTGTTCAGCCTAGGGAAGAGAAGGCTGAGAGGGGATCTAATCAGTGTCTATAAGTACCTCAAGGGAGGGAGTGCAGAGGACGGTGATGGTCTCTTTTCAGTGGTGGCCACTGATCGGACTAGAGGAAATGGCCGGAAACTGAAACATCCAAAATTCCATAGGAACTTAAGGAAAAATTTCTTAACAGTGAGGGTGACAGAGCACTGGAACAGGCTGCCCAGAGAGGTTGTGGAGTCTCCTTCTCTGGAGATCTTCAAAACCCGCTTGGATGCAGTCCTGCGCCACGTGCTCTGGGTGTCCCTGCGTATGCCGGGGGGTTGGACTAGATGATCTCTAGAGGTCCCTTCCAACCCTAAGCATTCTATGATTCTATGATTCTATGTCCTATGCAGCATTTGAAAGTCCCCTTCAGCTAGAAGGCGAGCTAAGTGCCGTCCTTGTAAACCACGTGAGAAGAGTGATACAATCCCAGAGTTTCCTTGCTCTGTTAGGAAAAGGTCTGCCTCTATCGCTTAGCATTACAGTCCAACATATTCTATACTTGGAATAGCATTGACAGGTCTGTCAGTCCATAGGCCAACCTGGCTATTGTGGGGGTATCCGCTCACCTGCCTCAATCTTCCTTTTATCTTCTAGCCCCTTGGATGCTCACTGTGAAAGGCATTATACTAACCAGAAAGCTATGATTGTCTCTGCAAAGTGGCTTTAAAATCAGAAGGAGGGGAAGGGCATTAATCACAGTAGGGTTTTCTCAGTCACGGTGTAAACTCTCCGTTTATTGAGATATATCCTTGCAGGAGAGATCACTGGGTTAGAATTTGCTCCTTCCTCAGCAAGCAGCTCCAGGCTGCTGAAATCTGGATTCAGGCCCAGGTCTAACTTGCACTGGCTATGCTGAAATTTAATACTACAGTTTGCAGCTTTTAATACTACAAGCCTCTCAAAGCAGCAGGTGCAACAGACCATTTTTTTCTGTGCTCGGTTAAATCCAGGCAGATGAAATCTTTTATTAGAGCTTAAAAAAAAAACCCCACATAGTAACCGCTGAAACTAAGACCACAGGCGGTAGGTAAGGTGTTATATGCAGACCAGATGAAACAGGGACATGTCTGGACTGTTGCCATGACATATTGCCTCCACTGATAGCTCAGAGACTCAAGGCAGAGAACTGTCAATAAATTTCAGATGGTTGTGTGCAAAAATCCCAATCCAAAATGCAGTAAGAGTCTAAACTTCAATAAAGGAGCTGAGAAAGTCTCACAGCAAAGGCTGCACAAAAGGAAAGCTCCTTTTAGACAGCTCAGCGGCATTAGCAAGACAGATTCTCATTCTGGCTTTCCACCTAGTAGTCCCACTGGTGCTAATGTTATCATACTGTGTAACAAATCAGCGAGCAAGCCCCAGTCTCTCAACATGACCATGTCTTTGGCTATGTTTAGGTCCCTCTGCTGGCAGTCAGACTGATAGGATTTGGAGGAGCCTCCTGCCTCGTTCCTGGTGTGACCCCCGTGTGCTTGCCTCCCGAGTCGGGAGGATCGTGGGGAACGGCCAGCTCTGCCGGGTGCAGAAACGGGGGGAAATGAAAGAGGTTTCTCAGACGCCGCAATGCTGCTGGTGGGAGACAGTACCCGGAAGAACAGGAAAAACAAGACTATTGAGGAAGGCATGACAAAGACTTTACTCAATATCTTATAGTGAGACACACACAAAAAAGAAGAACTTGAAGTGGATTCAGCGAAAACAATTGAGTACAGGAAAAAAAAAAGAAAATTAAAAAGTTTATCCCCTTACTCTCCATTTTGTATCTATAAATTGGATTTCCTCACTGCCGGGGTGTCTGGAACTGATAATTGATACATGAACCTTTCTGAATAAAACATCAGCCACCACAGAGAAACTCTGCAGAGGCCCCTGAGTCCTCGCTAGGGTTCTCAGAAACTGGACCACATCAGGGGAAGTGTGATCACACTTCATCTGTTGCACTGACCAACAGAACTGGCAGAGTAAAGGCCAGGACACCCTGCACCAGCAGTGAAATTGCATCTGTTCCTCTACTATTTCTTATGTAACTTCCATCGAGTCAGATGAGCCGGTGCCTTAGAAGACAGATGCTGCCTCAGTCTGTTATGGCAAGAAAAGCCACCTGATGCTGGAGGCTCCCAGCTGAGTCCTAGCCTAGATATGGACTCCTCCATGCTAGATGTTATGGCTTGATCTATAGGAGCCTGAAACTCTTTTGCCCTGCTATTTTAACTGTGAAAGAAATAGCTGGTACCCAGCTACAACACCTGAGATGGCTCTGGCAATGATCATTTACAGCAAGAGCAGATTTGCATTACAGATACAGGGCAGACTTGTGATTATCAAGACCTTACGCCTTGATCAACTAGGCATTTCTCTGAGCTTGCAGCACCTCCATACTGCAGATGCAGGAAGAAGGTTGCGCTTGTGGCACTGTCCACCTTCTGAAAAAATAGATTAACCATTATTTTGGAAGGAGGTTATTTGCAACTCATATTTTCTGAAGTGCTTTTGCACACTATAGTCAAAAGGATACAAAATTACACATATTACAAAGATTAGGTTTGAGGGTTTGTATGGCTGGACCTAAGGCACACCTGGGGTCAATACTGTCAGCCCAGGAATATGGTCCAGAATGAATTCATGACAGAAACCAAGGCAGGCATGTAAATGAAAAAGGTATCACCAATTCTGTCTGTTCCTCAGCCAAGACTTCACTTTGTTCTGAGGTATGTAGTTAAAGGCAGAAAGAAAATGTCATCATAAACAATCTTGGTGAGTGAAGGAGCCTCCCACAACATGTTCTCTCTCTTGTTCCAGGGAGGCCCTCTGGAGTACAAAACAGCTTTAATTCATCCTGCCCACCCCACTCTTCCCTTACTTCCCTAGGAGCAGCATTTATCTTTGGAACAAAAGCAGCAGTTGGAAACTGCAAGTGGGTAAAAGGAAGGGTCCAAGTCCTTGCTTTGCTAGCCCACAGAACAGAGCTCTGAGGAGCCACTGGCTCGGTGCTTTGCAGGAAGCACACTCTCCTTTTCTGACAGCCCTTTAGGTTTGTAGTTTTTTGGTTTGGTTGGTTTTTACAGTCCCTTGTGTTTGTATTTGTCACTATTAGGTGAGAACGTTCCTGTTGTAGCAAAAGGTGATTTTGGCCGCATGTTCCTTCCTGACATAATGAGCGCTCCGAAGCCATGCTGATGGGAGAAGGCATAGCCAGAGCGGCGGGTACTGGTCCGACGCAGACGCCTCTTGGGTGACGGGGGAGGTGGCCTCTTCTTAGCTTCTTTGATCTTGAGTAGGACCTGAAAGCAGAAAATAAGACTGAACAAGTGGGAAATGCAAAATTACTCATAAGCACAGCAAAAGAGGAGCTCAGAAGGGGAAATAAAAGCATGGATCCAAAGCAGGAAATTATTGACAAAACAGGGGGACAGCAGGAGGAGCCAGAGAGCAGGAACTGAACTTGCAGCATCAGGGTAGCACTTTAGAAAAAGGAAAAGCAAATATGACTCCAAAAGGCATTATTGGAAATGTCATGTGTAAGATATGGGAGAGAGTGATATCCATTTGTTACTCCTCATGGCACTGTGAGACGTCAGTTAGGGTTTTTCTGAAGCTCTTTCCGGGCTTTTCAGTCAAAAAAAAAAACCCCAAAAAACAAAAAACAAACAAAAAAAAACACACAAGAAATTCAAAGAAGTCCAGAAAGCCTGATCTATAAATAAAGATTGAAAATTTGACTTATTTAATTTAGAAAACAGACCACTGAGGGTGGGCTTATATAAAGGCTTTTTATGAGACTGGTGAATCTGGGGACATTTACAGACATCCCAAGGATGATCAAGGCAGCCACTGAGGACCAAGAGCCATCCCCTGAGTGCTCAGAGATACTTGTCTCGCAGCTTGGTGTAGGAAGGGGACGGAAGCACCAGGTGGCAGCAACATTTAGCAGATATCCCTGTTTGAGAGGCAGCCCGGGGAGCTGTGTTTACGCTCATCTTGTCCAGGAGTTCCTTGGCTGTAGTGATCCGGGCACTTCTGCCCCTTCCATCTCTATCAGCCTCTCCCTGCCCTAATGGCCTCATCTTCATATTTTAGGGCACGGGAGGGCAGCTGGTTTCAGTGAAGGAATATTACTATTGGCTATCAAGAAAGTAAATTCTCAAGCCAAAAAATCCCCAGCAAACATGTATGCATGTCTGAGGGATGAAGGAGTGCAGTCTGCAAAGTTAAAAGCTGTATGGCAGCAAGATGTCACTGCTGACTGTGAAATATGCCCCTACGTTGCCACTGAGCCACACCTTCACATAAAAATAGTGAAGCTTCCTCACTCCACTGCAACCCAATCCATGTCTGAATAATCTCAGCATTGCTCCCAGCCGCAGATGGTTTCAACTGTGCCAAAACACATGCTCAATCCTCCTTTTAAGGGACTAGGAGACAGAAGGATGGCAACACTTGCACCTCTAGGGATATAAAATAAGCAATGCCAGGCCCTTGCACTAAGACCTTGCAGTAGCTTTTGGTGGCAGCAATAAGGATTTCTAGTTTATGAGCTTATCTCCTTACTTTATCACTGGGAGTGGGCTTTAACTGAGTCTTCAGGAAACGATAGCCAACTACAGGCAGCACACAGAGGATGATGCTGAGGAAGATGGCTAGCCACACATTTGGTTGGCTGAGGGTGTTTCGAGCCGTACCTGAAAAATAAGAGCATTGTTAAAACCGCGGCAGCAACACCTCTCACCTTATTCACCTCAAATCTGCCATTCCCTGAGCTCCCAAAGTACTCAGGAAACACATCAAAATATAAACTAGACCCTTTTATCTAACAGTGAAATCAGCTTGTTACAGAGGACAGTAACATCCTCATAGCTGTCATAGATAAGTAAAGAAGAAAACAACACTCAGGCTAAACTGCACTGCTCAGGGAGATAAAGATGGCAGAGTGACTACTTTGTCCCATTACAACGAGTCAAATCACTGCAACATGTTGATAGGTAAATATCTGAGAGATCTACTTCAGCCACAATCCAGCCTGCTAGCCTTTTGCCAAGACTTCAGTTAAAAAGAAAGAATATTCTTCCTTATTTGCCAGGACTATTTCCTGAAGCATATGAAGTACTGTCCAATAGGTAATATGATCACAGTCCTTAATGAAAGCAAAACTCACAGACTAGCCTAAAGGGTGTGCTGGCAAAGCAGCTGCCACGTGGTAACATGACACTGACACATTATTTGAAAAGAAAATTTTCGCTTTTGGCTCCTCCAAAAACTGAAGGAATGCAGGATAGAACAAACTGCTTGCAGATGCCTCATTACAGCATCTAATGATGCTGTTGTTGGCAGTAAAGTTGCTGAATGTCTTCTTTACAGTAAGCCAAATTCTGTTGTATTACAACTCTGCTGAAATTAAAGCAATCAGGTTAACTGAGAGCAGACTTGAATAAATTTCATTAGAAATGGTCTCACAGTGAGACCTTACTAAGTGGCACTCAACATTATGGGTGCTTTGGCCTAGGCAGTATCAACAGAGCAGCACATATAGATGTCTCTGCTAAGTGGCTTACGAGCTGTCTTTGAAAACTGAACAGACACTCTGCCTCCTCTCACTCAGGACTTTTGATACTAAAAGCCACCTCTACAGTGGTTCTGGCCACCCACATGGACAATATCTTGCAACTGACCTGAATCTCAGATATTTCTAAAATGGCCAAGTACCTGCAGCACCTTGGTACTGAAGGTGGACAGAACAAATGACTTAATAAATCCAAAAAGAAAAGCACTGATTACTCATCAACTTGATATTTGAAACAATAAACATTGGAATTTTAGATGTGGCATTTAAAAACAAAGCTTTATAAGTATTGGTTATAGACAGATACTTAAAATATTTACATTACTTCATTAAACTTTTTGTCTTCCTCCTGCTCACAATCTCAGGAGTCTCAGGAGAGAGGTTCATTTTTTTTATTATTATTATTCACTTTTTGCATGTTTTAAGAAAGATTTTATGGAGAGTAAGGTTGCTGGAATTCTATGCCTTCCCACACCAACACATGAATTTATTTAGAAGAGAACACACATACTTCTGCAAACAAAACGCTGCTAAATATTTGTAAGGATTGGACATCTGGAAATAGAATAGCAAAGAGCTAACAGAAAATTTTCAATCTACTTCTGTGGACTTATTTAAAGGATCGTTCCTGTGGCTGTTTGAACGTGCATGCTTTTGCAAGGAAGTGAACATGGGACACGTCCACATGGATGGATGGGATTCAAAATAAACATTCCCAGCAACCTGCAGAAATACCATGGCATTTCTTGTATAAATGGCAGTTATTGCCTTTTTGGGAGTTCTTCCTATGAACACACTAGAAATATTTGACAGTTAATCCCAGCAGTTTGCTCATTTTGAATGCAATTGAGATTTGTCACAGGGCTTACCAACAAAGGGAAACGAGGCTGTCAAGATCAGGTACATGCCATCACTGTACATGGTGAAGGTGATGGCAAAGTAAACAGAAAGGCTGCCCCAGATGAAGAACTGGTTCACAACTGTCCAGTAAGCAGTGTCCAAGCCAATCTGAAAGAATGGAGCAATAGAACTGCTGTCAGTGCTTCAATTATTTAGCATATCTATGCGTAACGCAGCTAGAGATCATGTCCACCACTCTGTAACCCACCTTACCCCTTGAGATGGGTATTTGTTATGCCATCAGTACTTTCTTGTTCCAAACTATATACATATTCTCTCTATAATAACCAGGAGAGAAGCTCCCGGCCTCTCCCAGGAACCCATATTAGAAAATCTATGTACTGTAAGATACAGAGACATAATTCAAGGCTCAAGAAATACCCACCCACAGATCACATGATGCTGGAAGAACACTGAAGCCAAGTATTACTACATTTAGCCATTGCTTATGTCCTTACCTCATGCTGCAATCCAGCTATTGAAAAACAGAAAGAACCTATAACGCCTCGGGCAGTAGAGGCCATGATCTAGAGAGGTGAGATAGGTTAGCTTTTATTTTGAGAAGTTTCTCTTAACCTGCCAATATCAGCTGAGTTTTTCACTATCTTAATCTCAGCCACTTCCAGCAAGTTCATCTGTAGCATCACACACTGAACCAGGTTGGATAGGCAGCACCACAACAGAGACCTTACAAATGACTCCTGATAGCAGACAGACCATCCTCTGCTTTATCTCGCCCTGAAAAATGGATATGAGTCCTTCTCTCAGAGGTAACTGTTCTCTTTACTATGACTGTGAACTACACAAAGCAGATGTTCTGTCTTACTGTAACTCTGATCCTTTATGACTCTCAAATTTGTTGTTCGGATGAACTGAGGAAAATAAACTGGTGTCAAGAGATATTCTTAGAAAGATTTGCAGCAGCAAACAAAACGCTATCAGGATCTCAAGCGGCTCCTCCACATGCTGCCTTCATAAACCAATAACTAATTCCTAAAAGCATTTTCAGGGATGCTTTACCTGTACGGACACCACAATCAGTAGGCAGGTCTGGGCCATGAGCGCAAAGGATTGATAGTCAGCAATAGCTTTCCCATCACTTCTCATTGTATTGTACATTGCCCCATAAGGGATAAAGAAGAGGATAAGGGAACTGTAGATCCCATGCAACATGCAGCTGACAAACACTATTTTGTTAAAGTAGAGGTTTTGCTGTCCAGGCACATAGAGCTGAGGAAATAGCATACTCCAGCGATCATCCACATCCTGAAAGCAGAGAGGAGATGATTAGAGCCTTTTGCTGGCACTATGCAACTGACCTCACAAGGCCACTTAATGTTGTCACACCCCTGAGAAGGCACACTTCCATGTGAAAAGGTTTTGCACACAATTCACTTATCTGTGCTCACTAGCATGCCCCATCCCGAGGTCACCCAGGCATATTTTACATATTGAATTTTATCTTTCTCCTGCTGTAAAAGAAATGACAAGTGCTGCAAAAAAAATGAAGGCACATTTCTTCTTAAGTAGGCTGCATGTCTTGCTCTCCTGCAACATTCTTAGAAGCTAACGGATAGGAAATACCTCCACTGGGTCCACACATGGGCAAGGCCCTCTAACTTAGATTCCTTGCAAGAGCTTAAGTGGCAAGTATCTACTCATTTGTAAAAGGCACATAGGAGCAGTTTTATTGCTTCTATGTATTGTTGAACAATAATAGCATCTGAAGTAAAAATGCATATATGAAATTACTGCAGGAAGGGCTCCACTAAAAAAGGCTGAACAAAGAAAGCTTGCCTTAGGAGATCTTTAGAGGTCTAGTTCATTCACTGTTATGTATGGTCATTAAAAAGTACTGGTCTGGCTTTAGGGAACGGAGCTATTAGGACATGACTATGTCAGGAGAGTGTTGCAACAGCAGCTTTTAGTGTAGTCAACAGGCTAACTCAAATTCCCACCACACACTGAAACCTGCTGTCCAGTTCAAGGCACAATACTGTGCATCCTTTTCTTATGATACTGGTGGTCACTGGCAAGAAATTACTTCAAGGGCTACTACAATAGCTAGCCAAAGGGTCAGCTGCTTTTGCTTTATGGAACTGGTTCAAAGCACCCTTATAAAAAAAATCCAGATAGTGATAGAAACAATACCTGATCAAAGAGGCTCATTCCTAGCACCGGGAGGGAGGTATATACCAAATTGTAAAGCGTAATGAACCACTCATCATATACAGTCTAAAGAGAAAAGCAGAGCATGGAGTTAGCAAAAGGCTGCCTTTTCCATCTCTCCTAAACACATGAACAACATATATGAAATGCTGGAACATTTCGTTCAAAACAGTTCCGAGACCAAAAGCATAATGCCAAGCTCAACCATCCGCAGACAGTTTGAAGCTGAGGGAATATGCAGGGGAAGGATAGCTTTATGCTAGTTCTGCTTTCTAAGCATCCACTTACTGGATGTGTACCTCTCAGCGAGGCACAGGAAATGGTTTATTTACACTTCTGAAATGTTTCCACATACTTCGCTTGAAAACACTAAACATGATCATGAGGAAACAGAAACTGATTTACCTGCGCTGAGAAACCGGAGAAGAAGCCATACCAGAAATGCACTAATGTGAAGGCAAAATTCTTATAGAAGAAGTATTTGAGGAACTTGCACATGCGGATGTAAGACCACCGGCCATGGACCAAGAGCAGGCGCTGGAGGTAACGGAACTGTGCAAAGGAGAAGTCACTGGACAAGACCGCCTGCATCCCCTCCTGGCCACTGATGCCAACCCCAATGTGGGCAGCTGCAACAAGAAGAGTATTGGCCATGTCATTACATTCAGAGCTTTGATAACTGCAGTTAATGCTCTCCACACTGGGACACTCTGTTGATTCCCTCCTATCCTGCACAGAAAAAAGTCAAACGTGAAGCTATTTATGAAAAAAAAAAAAAAGAAGATTTGGAAAAACTATTTTTTCATGAGCATCAGCACAATTTTTGCTATGGTGATAGATTTACAATAACTGGGCTTATGTTATTTGAATGGAATTACACCCTCGGCGACAATACATGTTTTCATTCTTAATGTTTATCAATGGCACAGAACATCACTGTTGCTATGAAGAAATGTCTTTAATTTCTATTGAGATGTGACTTCTGTTATATGCATGCATGTTCTTTTAGCTGCCCTAAAACATTGCCCCAAACCAACAAACTCATTACAGATTTCTAAAGCGCAGACTGTAATCATTTTATATTTTCTGGGCCTTATCAGTTGAATGAAATAATTAAACAGAGCAGTCACGTCTCTTTTAATAGTAACTTGGGTTTATTAAACATGGACATAAGTTTAATGTGACAGCTAATTATACAGCTTTAACTAATGAGAACAATCTTGATGGCTGGAGGTTGCATAGATTGAGAGGTTTCCATGGAACAGTGAGCTGATAAAATCCCAAAGTCCCAACCCTCTTGTAGTAGCGAGGTTCATTTCTAATTATCTTGTATATTTTAACTTGCTTTTCTTATCCTTTCTTGACTGGCTGCCTGACTTATCTCCCTCGAAGCCTCCTACTTAGCCTTTGCTTTCTTAATTAAAAGGCTCCAGTTAATCAATTTTTACAAATTAACATGAGGAAGATTAGTAATAGGCCCTTCTGAATAATCTTAATTTAATTATATCTAGTTAAGGGATTTTTTTTTCATAAGTTCATTGAGGTAATGTAGCACTAAATGATACTGAAGTACAAATAGGGTAGAGGCCTGTTTACTGCAATACAAAGGAGCAAAATGACAAGTAGCCTCAGGCCACATGGAAGTGTTAAAAGTTCATTAAAAATTATATAACATTATACAGAATATTTACAAGCACAAAGATTTTCCTTTTGCATTGCTGATAGGCCATCTCTCTGGAATAAATTTGTTTATTCTTCACATTTCCACTGTGATAGTAGCCACACAAACATAGGTAGACACATCACAGCTCCTACAGCCTTTTTTTCTACATGGGAGGCAAGAAGTGAGAGATACCAGACCTCAGGGAGCCATGGAGTGACAGAACCGGTGGATATAAATCTGAGAAGAGGAAGGTCAATCCGACACCACCTGGGTGCTGACAAATTGGAATCCTTGTGTATCGGCACAGGACATAAGGGCTAAGGAGTTTCCTTGCGGGCAGGAACGTAGCAGTTTAGCTTCCTATTCTATCAAGTCTAGTAAAGTGCCCATGCTGGCTCAATATTGACAGGTTTTAGCATTATCTCCCAGTAACAAAGCTGTAAACAAAACAGCTTGAAAGATCAGTGGATAGAAATGAAGAAATAATAAATGCAGTCCTAGTTTCCTGAGTCTGTTGGCAGGAGCAGAGTCACTAGAGCACCAGTCTTATGTACACTCGATGGAAGACACAAGGGGTCCAAAGTGACACTGCTCTGCAGAAACCTCCAAAAATTTGGGCCCAGCCACCGTGATTCCACCAAGGGGAATATCCAGAAGCCACTCAGATAAGCATTTCTGCAAAGTGCTGCTCCTACCCATTTCACATTGCAGGTAATGGCAGCACAGCAGCCCATCCGTTTGCCAGAGCATGCTGGCCATCAGCAGGACACAGTGCTGCTACTCACTTTTGATCATGCTGACATCGTTGGCTCCATCTCCGATCGCCAGGGTCACAGCCTTCTTGTACTTCTTCACCAGCTCCACTACCTGGGCCTTCTGCAGGGGAGTCACCCGGCAGCAGATCACCACTTTGCACATGCAGGCTGTTCTCACCAGCTCCAGCTCCAGATTCCCTTCCAGTGCATAGGCCTGAGGAGCAAAGATGAGGACAGCTCACAGCCTTGAGCAGCAACTCACAGCCTTACAAAGCAGAAACAGTGAGAAGAAAATAAGAACTAAACCAGTTCTTTTATTCAGCATAAGGAAGGAATGGGATGGGATGCCTGGAAGTTTGCGAGAGCTGAGCTGGTATTTTCAATGCTACAGCAAGTGTTTCTCCCACCAAAAATGCCTATCTCATCTCTTCACTAAAGGTGACCTCAGCTGAACTCAGCCTTTTGGTCAAAGGTCATGTCCATGCTGCACAATAAAATGCCAAGCAGAATACACCAGTTTCGGTCTTGGAAGCATCAAAGCCATATTAACATGTCACTTACTCTGGCTAATGTATCCTGACAGTGCAGCACAACTGTCAAACAACAGGAACAGTGCATTAACACAGACCTGAGCTAGCTTGCGTATCTCCGTGCAAGTGAACTCCTGCTCATCCTTCCCGGTTTATTTTTTAAGCTCTGACAGATCTGCGTTATAAATAGAATAGATTTCAACTTGGGAGTATTAATTTTTAAAAAAATGGAAAAAGTTATGCTCAGGTAGGCATGAGAAAGCAAAACACAAAACGAGACAGAACACGACTTTGTTCTGAGTGCTGACCTTTTCATTCAGTCAGTCTGTTATTTCTATTCTGGAAGTGTGTTGTTATTTGGGCATCTGGTTTCCCCTCTGCATGCGAAGGAGGGAGCAGCGTTAGCTTTTCATATTTCTTGCTGATTGTGCTTCCTGAGTCTGTGCTTGAGTGTCTACTCAGTAGACATTCATGGAAGGAACATAGTGACTCTCTCCTCCTCTAAGCCATTACAGCAGCAGGGCTGCCCTTTCTGCGAGGAGAGGCAGGCAATTCAGAAGCCACAGGCCATTTCTTCCTAGAAAAGCGAGCTGTGAGTCACTAAAGCCCCCACTCCCCTGCCATTAGTGACAGGCAGGCTTGTTCAACAATAGAGACCTTTTCTTGAGTTTTTAACATCCTGGCTAGTCACTGCAGTGCTGCCATCAGCAGCCACCACAGCTTTACCAATGATGCTCCTACATACACATCTCTCTCACCCTTTATGTGTGCACTTGATTACGAGAAAGTGAAGAGCAGTGCATTTGTTCTGAATTTCATTCTCTATTTTCTCAAGTATCATTCCATTGTCAAAATTATTTTCAAATCTAACCTTGAACTCCTTCAAGTCTGCAATTCCTCCCAAGCTGGTGTTATCTGCACATTTATAAAGCTTGCCTCTCTTTTTAAGCAGTTAATTAAGACACTCAATATTAAATGGATGTGGGATAGCCCCCTGTAGATGCCACTTAACTATTTGGTTTTAGAACAACAATGAGCCATCAAGACCCATAATTTCCAAGGAGTCTCCTGCATTTGCCAGACAGCAACTTCATCTAGATTACATTAATTCAGTTTGCTTAGAAAAACATTGTGGAAGATAGCATCAAATAATTTATTAGTCAAGTTATATGATATCCATCCTAACTGTTAATGGAAAACAGATATATTTAAGAGGGTATGTTCTTGGCAAACTTGAAAAACATGTCTGATGTTATCTTCTTTGTGCATCCATAAAAGCATGATTATTTTTCCAGTAACTGTCTGGAAAACAAAATTAATCCAGCTACGCTACTCCTCCTCCTGTTCTGCTAACACCATGGTCATTTTTTCCCTGTTTCAGACTTATGCTCTCAGATAACCACTAATGGTTCTGAATTGCGGACAATAATTTCACAAGAATTACAGACCTTCAGCTAATGAAAAAAAAAACCACACACACACAAAAACCCCCACTAAACTCCTAAGGTTATTTTTTTTTTAAGTATTTTCAGATTTTCAGTATGTCCCTATTACAGAATCACAAGATCACAGAATGGTTGGAGTGGGCCTACCGGCTTTGTTTCCTTTCTGAGATAAACTGAAGGAATTCCATAAACTGATGGAATGAGAAAAATACATTGAAAAGCAGTGATTGATGAATTGAGAAAAATGCATTGAAAAGCAGTGGGAAGAGAACAAGAGGGAATAAAAAGGGAGGTGAAAGCACCAGGGTGGGGTCCTGCTCGCAAGGAAAACCATGTTTAGACAGACCTTGAAGACAGTTATCCGGATGGTAGTGACAGAAATAACCTTGCTATGAAGTGGGGACAGCAACAGCTCTCAAATACTGCAAGAGATGTCCTAAGCAAGGACCATGTTTACCTTCCGATTGCATTACCCACAATAATTCTACCTCCTATCAATAATATTTCTCAAAAATATTGAAAACATTTTGGACAAATGTAAAGCAAATTAAGGGCATTTCTTCGTAACCTCTAAGACTTTCAATAACCTATAAGATTCTGATAATTTTATCACTCCTAACCTGCCTTTTTACCCTCAGACCTACTCCCCTTGTTTATCCTCAGTCCTACTCCCCTTCTTTATTATATTAAGTACTTATTATATTATATTAAGTTCTTATGATAACTCAGTCCTAACAGGACTTCCTTACCAGGCTATGGCCATTGATAACAAGACCGTAAACCCCATTTGCTTGTTCATCAGGTAGAAGCTTTGCTTTGTTTGAAGATTTTGCAAACTGAATGTTAATTTCATCCGTGTCCAGAAAGGACTCTGGTTTCATCTTTTTCCTTGCATTCCTAAAAAGGAACACCCAGAATAATAATTAATAGTTTGTAAATATACATATTTTATTCAATCAACCTTACGAAAATAAAAATGTTTCTCTTCCTTTTGTTAGTTTAGTACAGCCTTTCCTGTATCACCACTACAACATGCTGGATTAGCTGCTATTGTTCATGCAGTTCACCAAAGTGCTTCCAAAACTCTAATAAGTGTGTGCTAAATGTGGACTGACTAAAAGTCTAACAAAATCACCTAAGTGAAGGACTTTATCCCAAAAGCTATCCCAACTTTCTGTACATGCTATCTGGCAACTACTTTCTTCAAAAGAAAAGGACCTGACTTCCCCATTTTCCCCCGCACCTAAGGACTGGTGTCTCCTGAGCAGACTTCAGGAGCAGGAAAGATTTCTAGATAGTGCTAAAAGCAGAACATTGTCAAGGAAAGAACCACAATATGGATGAACTGCAAAAGCAGTGGAGAAACTTCACAGGTCAGGCATCGAGTCAAAAACTTTGTCATTCCAGATCACCTTCCAATGTCACTGCATCTGAGTCTGCTTCCTTACTCAGCTATGTAAATTTACCCTCTTGGATTACGAATTGTCAGAGTTTCTCCTTGTAGGAGATTTCTGCACCATGTTCAGCTGGCTGCTGGATTATTCAGCCAGTCAGCTAACCCTTAGCCAAGGTGCCTGCAGTGAGCTGCACCAGGTAAAGCATGCAGGAAAGATTCAGTATTACAGAGGTGCTTCATTCCAATGTCAGGGCACAGCAATGGAGCTGGGCATTTCGGTCACTTACCTGAGTTCATTAAGTACGTCATCAGATGTGCTGCCTTCAATAATGAAAACATCTGTCATGTCATCATTCAGCAAGTTACAGGAGTAACCAATATTCACTGCCGTTTCTGGGAAAGATAAATCAGGAAGATAAGCTGGCTTAGCAGCCCTGAATTCATCCAACAAGCTCTGTGGCCTTTTTAAATACATGAGAAAAATTCTCCTTCTCATCCAAGACAGCCTTGAACCTTTCAGAGCCAACAGTTTAAGTGGGCCAGGAAAGTCACCTGAACACAGTGGCAAATCTCCACTAATTTGTGAGACCACAGGAAAAAAAAAAAAGAAAAAGAAAAAAGGATTTCTACCAAAGCAATAAAACTTACAACACCCACCAAGGCAACACTATTGGATCATCCAAAATATTTTGATTCATTTTTTTTCAGGTTATTTCACTTTTAAAAAATCTTTTCTTTTTCCTTTGTTGAAATTTAGGTCAGTCTTTCC